GATATTTCGACAATCTATCGTAAGATCATAAAAACAATAAAAAAAAAAATTCATTTTTTTCTGTTAAGAAATTAGAATTTGATAATTTCTTTTCGTCTGTTTAAATATATTTATCACATTAAATAGAATCGAAGAATCATTAATTACAAATTGAAAAATTGCTACACGTATTAATAAGAAAAAGATAACAAAAAATTAATCAATGTTTTAAAAAAAAATTTCTTCTCATCTGTTTAAATATATTTATCACATGAAATAGAAATAAAGGAAATGTGATAAAATACTGAAAATAAGGAACATTCGCAAACAGACGGATGAAACAGATTGAATCTAGACGCGATTCTTGACGCGACTATCGACCGTACGGCGACATTAGCCACGGTTGAGTTGTCGGCTCTCGGCGTGGAAATGAAAAAATATATTGCCCGCCGCGGAGCAGAAACTTCCAGCCGAATGGCGGTCTATTTTTTTTTATTTCATATCTCGTCGAAATAAAAAACAATTTATGCTGACTCTTCACATATTTCTCTGGTTTCGAGCCTTTCGCTGAAAACAAAAACGACTCGCATATCTCACAATTCTTCAGGTGTTTATAAAATATGAATATCGAACTTTATGAGAAACGATTTTTATCAATTCTGACATACGTAGATATTTCGACAATCTATCGTAAGATCATAAAAACAATAAAAAAAAAAATTCATTTTTTTCTGTTAAGAAATTAGAATTTGATATAATACAGGAAAGATCGTGTTGTGCAGGAAATAAAGAGTTAAATCTTACTTAGACACAATGCGAGAACACGGTCGTTAACGATCCAGTGACTTTGTCACCAACTTGAATCTTTTCCGTGGAACGCAGACGGATTTAAATAGAAGGATGGAATGGGGGAGAAAGAGGTTTCGTAGGCTCTAGGGCTTGTAGGGATGTATCGATCGCCGTTTGTGCCTATGTTTCTTGCCCGCGAGACAAACGAGAAATGGCGAATAATGCCGTGCTCGGCCGCGCGTATACACGAAGCTTCGCTCCCTGTTTGCCGTCGTCCTCGTCACGAACATATAATTCGCACCCTCCCGCCGTTTTCCAAAGTTTAGCGACGAAGAAACATCCAAAAGAAAAAGATCCAGCACGACGTCTGCGTCAGATAAAAGACATCACGTTTACGGAAGCTTTTTAGTGAGCAAATTTTGTTTAAGGCTCTCTTTTTGTTTATCATTATATATATTCAGGAACATTAAATTTAATTAATGAAATAAAAAAAATAAAAGTGTATCTTATATGAAAGAGCAATGAGATGTGACAAAAATATTCATTGTTTTATTATGAATAAAATTTCGTTAAAAAAGGAAGGGATATAAAATGCGTGTAACAAGAAATATTATAGAAATATCGAAAATCACATGCAAAATGACCACAAACGAATAAAAGAATCTTTTATCCGCGCACACTGTTGGTACAAAAATTGCGATGAATAAAACATCACGCGAAACAAGGTCAATTCCGCGAGAATTATTGCGGATTTATCTTTCTTCTATGGTTTTTCTCACTTTCGTCGCTCGATAAATCCGCGCAACAAAAATGGACCGATCTCGACTGATAATATTTATACGGACTAATAGAAGCGTGGGATTAATACCCGAAAATTGCTTGGACAAAGTATGACATGAGACGAGGGATTAATTCCAATGGTCCGTCATTATTCAAGCTCTCTGTAGTAAATCCCCGATACATTATCGAGCGTGCGTGATACACACGGTAGCCGTCCAAATCCCGGTCCTTTGAGAATACAAGTTTCGAGGGTCTATATATAAGTTACCCAATAAAGAATTTAACCGAAATTGATTGATTAAATAGAAATGATGGATATATAAATTAAGGTCGAGAGATGCCGTAGAACGCATAGCACTGATTCCGCGTCGTCGCCGCATTTCCCTCGAATTAACTATCTGCCGTGGTGACAGCTGGCCCTTAACTCCGCGCCATGAAATAACCTGTCACCGGTAACAGGTGCTAGAGGTTTATTGCATCGGTCCTAATGCACTCGCGAGAACGTCGCGTCGCAGCCAGCGACGTGCGACGTCTCTGATTCTTCGCGCGCGAGAAAAATGCGCCCGATGGGCCCGCACCAGAGCCATTGAAATATTACGCCCGCTGCAGCAAAATATCTTTGAGAGCACGGTTTTGCACTTCCCTTTGAAGTAAGTCACGGCGGATAGTGCGCCGCCACGGAGAGGAAAAAATAAAAGGCTCGAAAATACGCGAGAGATAGAGAAGTGTATTTCTCTACGATACTCCTGCGTCGAATAAACATATTCGCGTTACACACGTGAAAAGAAATATAAATTTACTATCATATTTCTCTGATGAGCATTGCGTCACAAATTCAAAGACGTAAACTTGCGACAAAGGATTTATATATTTTTGTATGTATGCGTATATATAATAACACGTGATCTGCGTATATGATTAAATAAACATATATTTCTTTATGTGTGTATAATAATAATTTTATAAGTTTAAATAAATTTAATATTCTATTTTTATATTGCTTCTACTTTATCCGACTTCCATGAATTATTATATATAGTAACACTGAAATTATTTTATGTCGGATACACAAAAGAACTGCTAATCCGCGTAAAATTAAATTATCCGTACAGATTAATTGAATTAATCGAACTTATCCAATTAGAACGGACGATAAATGTCTGGCGCACGAAAGATACATAACTATCTTTTTCCTAAAATTACCTGGAAGTTTTGCGTTACGAAAGTCAATGTCAGCCTCAAATATTAGAGTTGTGTTGAGAGTTGAAAATACAAGCTTCTGCAAAAAGTTTGTGGAGAAATAGACTTGCAATATCGCATTACAAATTCGATAATAATATGTTTTTTATGGCTTCAGTTTAAATCTACGAAGAAACCCGATAACCTTGCCCAAGCTATATATCAGCTAGTTACGTGTAACGATACAAGGAATTGGATTGTTTGCAAAAGCTAATTTTTTACGTGCAATTACGTTGTTTTTCTTGTCTTATATTTAGTCTATAGATCGAAATTGTGAAATATGGAGAGAATAACTATGAAATATATATGTATATATTTATATAATATTTCATAATAATAAATAATATCTTTCATCACGCAGTTAAAAGTTATTAAAAAATAATTATGTACAAACGATATTTTGTTCGCACAAGAAAGTTTTTAAATAATTAGTTAAAAATTTGATTAACGGAGAAATACTTATTTCAAATAAATATTACATGTCTAAAAAATTTAATATGTGAGGAGCAATACGCTAGATTTTATCCGATCCAAAGATAATGAAATTTTGAGAAAATTCAGAGCAAGAAATGAGTTCCATGCTATGAACAGAAAATCAATATCGAATTGAAGAGATTACTGACTGAAATTGGCTTCTTCTATTTTGACGCGTCCGTATATCATTATTTATTCCACAGATTGTCATTCAATTAACTTTAAAAATACGTCGGTCGTGCCATTTTGCGAAAATATGCAAAATCCAGGTCACACAATCTATATATTTTATTAGATATATCAACTAATAATATTACTCAAAATGAGTAACATTAAAATGAACAAAATCTTGAAAGATAATCGATCGCGTCCCACAAGATTACGTTGATTCTTTCTGAATCTTTTGTTGAACCGAAAAAATCTTTTATTTTAAAAAAATATATAATATATATGTAATATATATGTATAATTTTATTGCGGAACCATTTTTCTCAAAGAAGTCAATCTTAAATAAAAAATATAAAATATGCAGAGAATTATATAAAACGTCACTTATTATAATCAATCATATTAAAACTTGACATTTATAATTCTAATTAGATTCTGCACAAGACTGCTAAAAAGGCGAGGCGCGAATTGCACGAGAAATTTAATCGGCCGTACATAGCACAATATGCACCGCGATTGTACTCGGTAGTCCATTAATGTTACCTCCGGTACATGACGTCCTGTAATTAGGTCATCGCTTAAACTTACACCATTATATGTATATACGTTTTAGGCGCTCGATATGATACGAGCGAAGCTCATTATGCGACAATCCGAAAAAATTTTCTCTTAAAAAAAAAAATATTTCTTCCGCGCAATATTATTTAGAATTAATCAAAAATAAAGAAAAGAAAAATATTTATATTACGAAATATTTATATTACGAAATATTTACTATATGTTAATATAATCGATAATAAATATCGGATAAAGATCAACAATAAATTCAGGATAAAGCAACGTGAAAGAATTGCCTTAAAAAGAACCATATAGTCGTGGAATATAATTCATCGTATAAATATTTTTCACACATCATTATTGATTATGTAACGTAGATTGGAATGAGCATCTGTCGATATGAGCACGTAATTAGATTTGGTTTTACAAATAGACATGTTAGCACATTTATTGTAAATGTTCCTTTTCACGAATGCGAACACGACGGTAATCTACAACGATATCGGTGAAATTTACATATATGTATAACATCGGTCAAATTTACATATATAACATCGCAAACGAAATATCCTTTCAATATTATGTAACAAAAATGAAATAAGACATACATAAATATTTTATTTTCCCTGCCTCCTCTCGCGAGTGCAATATTAATACGCGATAGAATCTATTTTGCAGACTAGCAACAACCAAATATCATTTACGTCACCGCGTTATAATCGTCTATAACATTTTATTCTTAGCATTCCTCATCTTTATCAAGCGACATTCGATGTGTAGAATACCGGCACGCTATTATCGTTCAAGTATTACGAATCACGAAATTATACGTGAATATTCGTGACTACCGTAACGGTCGTCAGTCCAAAACCATGCGAACTCGCGTTTAACCGTGCAATACGAGGCCGACTACCAAGGCGAGTGATGCGAGCGGATACCCGAAATCGGAAACGAACGTCGGCCATATTCGTGCTTGGCGAGGAGGCGAAATCATATCGATGTTTGCGTCTTACCTTGCGTGCTGCCGTTGGGCTGTCCGGCCTGCTGCGGTATTCCGGGATAAAGGGGCGAGGGATGAGGCGATGGTTGATTGTTGCTGAGCGGTCCTGCAGAATGCGGGTTGGCAGTCGTAGGGGTCGGCGTAGCAGAAGGTACCGCTTGCTGGGATTGCTGCACGGCGGACGTAGGTGTTGCTGCGGGGGTGCCATCGCCACCCCCAATACCACTCGTCACGATGCCACCGGATGGTTGTTGTTGTTGCTGTTGCTGTTGTTGCAACGACGACAGCTGCTGCTGCTGCTGCTGCTGCTGCGATGCTTGCTGCGGCGTCGGCGGTTTTTGCGCGTCCGTCGACTCGTTCATCGTTTCTGCAATAAGAGAAGATAGAGAAGATAATATTAATTCGTTCGGATAAATAATGCTATTTGGCATTCGAACGTAATTAATTCGCAAACATCCAGGAATGAATCAATTTTGAAAGTAATTAGATAAAATTTGCGTGACAAATTTTGTTACGTATTTAGGGCGAAAGAATGAAGATGCTAAATTTTATTAATGAATGCCTACAACATGTTTGAAATTCTACCCTTCGATGAGGGTGTTGAACGGTGTAATGTTAGTTGAGATTGCAAGAAATAGGATAGGACGTAGGTGTTGCTGCGGGGGTGCCATCGCCACCCCCAATACCACTCGTCACGATGCCACCGGATGGTTGTTGTTGTTGCTGTTGCTGTTGCTGTTGTTGCAACGACGACAGCTGCTGCTGCTGCGATGCTTGCTGCGGCGTCGGCGGTTTTTGCGCGTCCGTCGACTCGTTCATCGTTTCTGCAATAAGAGAAGATTCAATCTTGAATATTAATTCGTTCGGATAAATAATGCTATTTGGCATTCGAACGTAATTAATTCGCAAACATCCAGGAATGAATCAATTTTGAAAGTAATTAGATAAAATTTGCGTGACAAATTTTGTTACGTATTTAGGGCGAAAGAATGAAGATGCTAAATTTTATTAATGAATGCCTACAACATGTTTGAAATTCTACCCTTCGATGAGGGTGTTGAACGGTGTAATGTTAGTTGAGATTGCAAGAAATAGGATATAAAAGAAACGAAATACATACGCAAAGCATACAAAGGATAGATGGGTCGGATTTATATAGAAGGATTGAATTTAATTCAATGTAGAAGATTCTGAACATCGACCTGGATAGAATTTCAAAAGTCAAGGGGTTCTCGGTGTGTAACCGGAAGTTCGTTCGATCATGTTAGAGTTTGAAAACAGGAAATCAGTGCACAAAGCGTAACAATTGTCAGCAATGCAACAACTATCGATGTCAGTAGTGTTGCATTAATTCGGTTCACCGCAAAAACGACACAATATATACAATATTCTATATTGTATATACAATAACAAAAATTAAAAATCTTTAATATACGGATAAAAATATATATATATAAAATTTCTTTTATATGAAAATAATGTGCATGCCTGAAAATATAAGAGTAACAATACATATGTGAAAATAAAGAGAGGGAATAAAATTACAAATATGATTTTTATATTTATTTCTAATGCGAAATTTATACCGTAGCTCGTAATAAATATTTTTTATATTATAGGTATCATATATATGTATATATAAAAATTTAATATTTCGAAACATTGATATTCGATGCAAGTATATGTATGTCGAGTGATAATGACGTTGAGCTTTTCATATATCATACTGACATCTGATATTGGTATATGTTGATATTTTTCTTGCTTTCTCCTCCTACGCAATATCTCTCGCTACATTTTTCTCCGTCCGGATCCCCGCCATTTCCCAAGTCTCCATCGATCTTGCGGTTAATTTAAATAAACGTATCTCTCTCGTTGTAACCAACGGGATGACGTACGTTGATAAATAGCTTTACGTCATTGCCGCCGACAAGTTTCGCAACTTCTCGCGATAATCTGACGAAACCAAGCGAGATACTTTAATTACAAAGGGTAGAATAGGCGTTGTATACTCTTTTTTTCTCTCTCTCTCTCTCTCTCTCTCTCTTAAAATTTGCCTCGTAAAGTTCGGATTGTTCGGATAAGGATATGACTAATGGCGGAATAGTTTCGGAATCAATAGAATTCTCAAGGTTTCCTTGACGAAGGATATACCCGACAACTATTGTTATGTGTTAAGTACCGAGGGAACACATATTAATCATTCGAGAAGTTTCATAGTCCTTGAGCGGCAAGAAGGGTTTTGAAATCTACTTCCCCGACACAAGTCGTGTGTCTTCAAGCATTGTTTTTGCAAAAAGTATATATGCGATGCTAACAATTATACTTTCTCTCAAAACTGAAGTACTTACTTTAACGTTCTATCAGTACTGAATTGGAAATATCTTTCGAAACTTTGTGTAAATTGACCATCTTATCAGGACAATGAAATCTTTCGTCCGTTGGCGTTGAACGAGCCAACTAACTCCACGTGCGAACGAAATGCGAAACTACTCGGAAAGTCTCCCTACAACGTCGATAAGAAGGATCGCGCCGGTATCGCATCGCGATAATGCCAACGAATATATGCTACTATTTATATCGCGGACAATGATAAGAAATGAATATTTTAAGAAACGTAACTCGGAGTCTGAAATCAGCTGGGTAATTAATCGCGTTATTTTGACGCGACGTAACTAGTCGCGATTGCGGAAATTGAGTTCACGTCTACTATCGTAACGACTGCAAAACGCAATTACGATCTTATACCGGGTGGCAAGTTGTCGACACCCTAGCAGTCTGTTCCTCGTTTCCTGTCCAGTCTGCCGAAAGGGCGGATACTGTTTTCGCCGCGCCAGGTAAACGGAAATGTCTGTCTGACACGCGTGTAAATTTCAATATTCCAATATTCGCAAATTTCCACGTTTCAGGCAATGAAAAACATTATCAATCAAGAAAAACAATAATAAAAAAAATGATAGAACTTATGGTGCATTTAAATAGCAAATTGCTACAGAAAATGCGAAACAATTATATATTTAAAATATTTTGTATTAAAAAAATTCTCTCGCAGTTGAATTTACAAAAGACTGATATTGAATGAAAAATCGAAAAATAAAATAAATTATAGTAGACAACAAATATATGTATAAACAAAAGAGACTCTCACCATTTTCCGGATACGATGTCGATCGTATCACGGGCAGCAATATCCCTTTTTGCACCAACTCATCTCTGCTGGCACGTACCGAGATTTTTCTCTCGAGCGCTATTAACAAAGGTAAAGAAACGAGCGAAAACGTCATTATATTGTCTGTTCTGTTATCTGTAACGCGCAGTTTAAATGGCACGATTATTTTCGCAACACGATATCGCGCGCGATAAACGTTTAAAACGTTGTACACCGTGTAATTCTAGAGAAGATGATTAAAATACGTTAATGTGCATTCTCTTACGTGCACAAACATTTTACTTAGACGTATATATTTAAATTGAGTAACATTTATTATTTTAAAACGCAGACATTTTTTTCTGTAATATAATAATGTTCGATATAAAAAGAAAAGAATGCAAAATTCATTATTAAATTCTCTCTATTACATATTTGATATAAAATGTTTCCGATTTAAATACCATTTAAATTGCAAATATTATAAATAAAATTTGATTAAATATTATTTTTACTATAAGCACACTTATATACTTACATAATGAAGCGGCTTCAAATTTATCCGATTTCTTTTTCCGCTTCCATTTCCAGGGTTTGAAGAGTCTACCGAGTGCCGAAAATTTACTTTTTCTTTCCAAGGGCGGCGTTCTCGCACCCGAACCCAAACTGTTTGTTCGCAAAGCAGCACCATTTTGCTTTTTCGCTGCAACAAAAAAAGATTACATTAATGTAAATTTTACATCATTAATGTGAACATCTTCTTGTACATAAAAAAAATACTCGATTCATATATAAATAATCGCGATAGAATAAATTTAATTTTACATTTATGCTATTTAATCATTCAGTCAGAATATTTATAAGTCCCTTTATATTTATCATTCTTCAACATTTATTATTCTCATAAAGTCATCGTCGTTTGTGCGACAGAGTATATATGTTAGTCATCGAGAATGGTTATTTAAATAAATATGTAAATTTGCAAATTGGTTACTTGCATACGGTACAAACTAACTTTATCCACGTTTGCGTGATACAGAAGTATCAACCTGGGATATGTTATCTAGATTTTCCGTTTTTCCAATAAAACGTAGCTGCCTATGTTACCCGCGTTTACCGACCAGGGATGCAAGGTTTCCCATCAACCCTTTTATCGGCGCCCGGAAGGGTGGAAACGAATAAACGACCATCGATGCATTGGTTTAGTTTATCTAATACGGAAAACCACGATTTCTTTTATTTAAATCTATGCTACATATTTCATATATAACAATTGAGAAAATAAAACAGAGAATTTTTACGGATTTCAGTAAAAAATATTTCCTCAAAATAAAAAATTTTATCGATAAATAAAATTACTTGAGTGATAACGTTATTTATAAATAGATAAAAACGCATTTCTGATAAAATTTCGCCGTACATGAAATTAATTAAATTAAAAGAAGAATCGCTAATATTATAATCTTTAGCAATATTCAAACATTCGATTATAGTTTTTATTGCAAATGAGACAGATCGATATTAAATAGGCCAAACGTATTTGTCAAATATAATAAATATATTTCTTTATGTAACATTATATTACAAACTATTCTACAACTGCACAACTATTCCTGCAATGAAGCTAATCGAGATATGAAAAGTTTGATAGAAACACATTTTTTCATGTGTCAAATCGTACCTAACATTTCCGCTGAATTTCTACGCAAATTTTTTCGACGGACATGGAAAGTGCTATCTCCCATTTTCATCTTTCTCTCACGTCCTATATTATACTAAACTAACTGTACTAAATTTTCGTGACGGCACACGAACTATTACGCAAGTATTGTTAAAATAAATGTTCGCAAAACAATAATATAATAATATACGAGAAGAGCATTTTAAGTAAAAAACATTTTTAAATAATAATACATATTATAAACAATCTAATAACAAATATATATTATAAACAATCTGATGATAAATACATATTATAAACAATCTGATTATTGAATAAACAATGATTTTATATAATGCAATAATTAATGCCTTTATGTTCTTTTCAAATATTACTATATTGATCGATATGTAAATACGAAAATTTATATAATAAAGATATTAACAATGAGACAAAAGTTGAATTTATTTCACTGATTTAATGTATTAATTTATATTCTGACAATAAAGGGAAATAATACCAAGCATTATTAAAGCATTTTTGAACATAGCAATGACTACCTTAATCCATAGAAAAATGTAATCCCTATACGAGAAAGAATTTTTTTATTTCGCTTTTAATCCAGCCTGTTCCTATTTTCTAGTTGATTTTACTACCAGACAGGAGCACAACTCATGTCAACATAAAATCAATACTCGACACAACGGCACCCCATAAATAATTTAACGAATTTTTCATCGCGTTATTCCGTAACGTTTATCCAATCACTCCGAAGCAGAAAGCGAAATGTGCCATGGCAATTTTAGCTGACAGAAAGTGAAAAACCAGAGAATTATTGACGCCAAAATCCATTGCAAACTAATTACTTGTGCCAAACACACGTTTACAAAATCAATATTGCAACAAATATAATCAGATGCTAACGAATACGGCATAGCAAATAAATCTATCGATATTTCATATGCATAACGAAGGATGTATCGAACACATTAGTATAAAAATCGATAAGGCAAATAAGAAAAATAATTAAAATTTAACAGCATCGTTATATCTTTACGTAAGATATTGAATAAAATTTTTGGAAGCAACTTTTCCAATTATTTATAAATAGACGCAACCAAGATAAATTAAATTCAACTTTTGACTATGATTTTTTTACTACTAAAAAATAAAATTCGCGCAGAAGCAAAGACAAACAAATACGTCTAATTAGAGATAAAACAAAATTAACCGAGTAAAACTAAACTCTACATTTAGAAGCAAGACAGCCGTCTTGCTTTCGACCCTGTCCTTATCGCGCTATGGTTTTGTAAGAAGAGAGAGTTCGTTTTAAAAGACTGTTCCCTGAATACGCCCTTTCAACCTACACTTATCGGCTATCTACTATCTTCCTGTTTGCAGCCTTAGTACATAATACAGTAGTTACTGCCCTCTCGCATCTCTCGAGAGACGCCTCTCTGCACAAATACAATTGTCGCAGCAAACAGGAAGAACTATAATATATATAGCAATCTTTGCAATTTATCAAGTAAAAAAGTCAAGACATCGCACGAAAAATTGCAAGATAAATCTTGTGTACTTCAAGAGAATAAGTCAATTCTTATCAAAACTGATTTTATAATAAATCTACGTTATTTTAATAAACGTTGATAAAATATTGCAGAATTTTAAATAATATGTTTGTAACGATTTCTTTATTTATTCACAAGTTGTGAAAGAAATGGATTTAATTTAAAAAAATTATTTTTACTATAAATTTTAATTAGCATTTTACTCATGCCCGAATACATATGTATTGTCGATATAAAAAATGTAGGTAGAATCTACTTCAAAATCCACTTTGGAAAAGAACTATCTAGATTATCGCTAAGGAAAAGAGAAATTTTCCCATAAGCACAATCATAAACAACCCATGTCGCCCTGCTCGCATCGTCACCCTACGATGCATAATGCAAAAGCCTCGTATATAACTTGGGAAAAAGTGCGACGAGGGTGAAATGTGACGGAAGGAAAGTGCGTCGTGCACGGTTGAACACTGTCGAACGGCGATTCTGAGAAACACCCCCGTGGGGAATAATGGCCGATAACGTGCGGTAGGGCAGTTTTGCGAGTGTAAGGTAGAAGCGCGGCCGATTACGGCAGCCTTAAGCACCCCTCCGGGATTCTCGTAACGTCTTGGAGGGCAAATCGCTCTTTTGAACGGAGCGACTTTCGGAGCGTGACGTGGGACGAACCTTGCTTAAATGACGATCGCTTAATTAGCCGACAAAGCGTTAATCCTTCCGCGATAGTCGAGAAGTTATATTAAAATAAACATTGTAGCTAAGAAGTGAGCCCTTTGATGAAAACGTTGCGCGCTCGATTATTATAAAAGGCCAGTTTTAAAAAACGGGCATTAAACGATAATTACACTCAAAAAAGTGGTATTGCAACCACAGCAAAAATTTTCTGGGTGCGCAAAATTAACTGAGGTACATAAATGATTAGCAAATACTGTGATATCGCATATGTTTCGCATTTAATCAATCTAAGTGACAGAGACAGAATTTATATCTGAACTGTTTGTGAAATTTAGAAAGAATGTTTTTCTGTGGCGCCTATCCATGTTAAGGCCAATCATACTTGTTATAAAGTTTGGCTGTGGTACACAGAAAAAATTAGCGGCAAGAAACAAATGAATATATAATCCTCACGTCTAACATATTTGTATAACGCGCCCAATCTATCTAGCTCTTTTAAACAATTTCTCTCAATTTTTCGATGCTGCAGTTATAATTGGCAGTTATATTTCTCACAAAGATCGTTCTAGCTGTAGTATCGAAACTCATATTTATCCAATGCAGTGATTAACATTTGGCAATGGGACCTAAATTTTCTAGAAGATATTATTAGAATATTGCTGCTATAAATTCTATATGTAACGGACAATATTCTAACAGATACAAAAAATAGCAATAAATTTTTGTTGTGACACCTAGAATCTACCTATATCAGCAAGACATTTTTTTGAGGGTACTATGTTTATATAATAGACACCCGAGAGATACAAAACTGAGAGAGCAAAACTTTCTACGCCAGGTTTTTAAAATTTTTTGTCAAAATTAAAAAAGAATTGTATATTTTAATAATTGTATTGCCTATTTTGTTATTTCAATTATAAAAATATTAATGCCACTTCAGCTATACGTTTTTGTCTGACAATAATGTATGATAATGATTGCATGATCTTCCTAGATCAGATCTACTCTCTAAATGAAACACGTGTGATAAGTTCTGCTTTATCTCCCGCAGGCTTTCCCCTTTATCCCACAAAAGGAAGGAAAAGAGTATATCAGCTCCGATGCTAAAGTGGAATAATTGACGCCACAAAACACTTCCGCTGTTCCTAGGGACCTATTCACGTGTATCGAAAACCGACGAGAGCTGTTGCACTAGATTTGCAGACAATGGCAATATTAACGCAATAGACCGTATTCACCATTGTTCGAAAATGTGCAGCATCTTATTGTTAGACGAGAATCATAATCCCGCTAACAATAAGAAAAATAAAAAAAAAAGAAGAAAAATAAAAATCGACCTTGGCGCAATCTTCTAATCGACGCAATTATGTAATTAACAATGTATCAAAATATCGCAAATTATGTAATAAAAAAAAAATAAATAGATAAACAAATCGCAGCGACAAAAAAAAATAAGTTATGTTATAATAAGAACTTGAATAAAATTTAAATTACGTATATTATTATATAATGTTTCATTATTTACAAAGTTTGCATTATAATTGAACAATTAAAATCTGTTGAAATGATGTTCTTAATAGTTTGATGAGTGAATAATTTAATAACTCTTATTTAAATTACTAATTCTCATAAACGATTGCAAGTTAATCCGATTAATCTTTATGAGAAGCTGCATTAAGTCGATATCATTGGTGCGTTGATCAATAATAAATTATTCGCAGAATTATTATGCGCGAGGGTGAATAACACGTCATGACAGATTTTATAACTCCCAGTTAGAGCGCAATAAAATTCCTAGCTAAT